CCCCAAAACCCCAAAACCCCAAAACCCCAAAACCCCGTAATTATTAATAGATGAGTTAGTAAAAGATTTGATTAAATACTTAATATCTTAAATAGTAAATTATGGAATCCAAAGATTCAGCCGCTCACGTTGACGATCACTACGATGCTTGGTTCGTTAAGGGACTTCAGGAGTTCGTCAGAGTACCAAATCTTACAATGATGGCAGACAAGGACTTCGCCACCAACGGTCTCATCTAGCAAGCTATGGAGGTTGTTGATAGTTACATCAACAAACTCGAAGTTTCAGGCATCACTAGACATGTGTTCCATCCTGAGGGTTCAAATCCACTCGTTGTTTATGTCGTAGAAGGAAGTGAAGGTGCCACTAAGAATGTTATGTTTTATGGTCACTTGGATAAACAACCTTGGGGAGCTGGCTGGGAAGAAGGTCTTGCCCCCAATGATCCTCAAATTAGAGGCGATTACATGTTCGGTAGAGGATCCGCTGATGATGGTTACTCTGCTTTTGCCACTATGCTTTCAGTCAAATCTGTTTAGCTTGCCGGAGGAAAACTGCCCAGAATTGTGCTAGTTCTTGAAACTGAAGAAGAATCTGGTAGTCCAAACTTGATCCCTCTTTTAAACCTAGCAGAGGGAGTGATTGGCAAGCCAGATGCCTGCTTCTGTATGGATTCAGGTGCCTTAGACTACGACTAACTTTGGTTGACTTCATCACTCAGAGGAGTCTGCAATATGGATGTTACCATTGAGGGAGGTAAAGTTGGATATCACAGTGGAGAAACTGGTGGTATCATTCCAGAAACCTTCAGAGTTGCCAGAGCTCTCCTCAACAGACTAGATAACTGTGACACAGGTAGAGTGACAGAAGAACTTCAAGTAGCAGTACCAGACTTCAAGCAGCAAGAAGCTGAAAATCTTGCAAAGATGTTTGGTGATAAATTATTCACTAAATACGATCTCCATGAAGGTGTACAATGTGTTGAACAAGACAACATCCCAGAGATGTACCTAAATAATGTCTGGAGACCAAACCTTTCAGTCACTGGTGCTGAGGGACTTCCACCTATTGCTGCCGCTGGTAATGTTTTAAGACCAAAGACCACTCTTAGATGCTCAATGAGACTCTGCCCAAATACCGATCCATCTGATGCTAAGAAAGTCATGACTGAAAAACTAACTTCAGATGTTCCTTACAATGCCAAGGTTACAATCGATAATTGCCATGCTGGTCCAGGCTGGTGTCAAAGATAGCTTGAAGACTGGTTACACAATTCTCTTAATGAGGCTGGTCATAAATTCTTCAATGGCAAAGATTATGGTTCCTACGGTGAAGGTGGCAGTATTCCTTTCCTTAAGGAACTTTAGAACAAGTACCCTGACACTCAAATCGTAGCTATGGGAATAGTTGGACCAGGAGCCAATATTCACGGTCCTAATGAGAACATTAACTTGGCTTGTGCTAGAAAGATTGTTAAAACTCTTGCTCATGTCATCAACACAGCAGGAAATCTTTGAGCCTGTCAGAATTAATATTGGTCATTTATCCTGTTAATTTCTTAATTTTAGTTATCACACTTTCAGATAGAATCATGGGGTTTTGGGGTTTTGGGGTTTTGGGG